CACATATGCAGGCAGAATTCTGTATAAATAATAAATAAATAAATAAATAAATAAATTTATTTTAAAAAGAAACAAAATTATCTGAGAAATCTCAATGTTAGCTAGGATTTAATTTTTAGACTTACAAGCCTTTAAAAATCAAAAGAGAGGGGGGAATGAAGAGGAAAAGAAAATATTTTCAGGTTCATGACAAAAATCTTTTAAACAAAACAAAACACCAAATCTCCTTTAAAAGACTATGTTGGGGGCTCTATAGGATTCTGGTTTGTAACCATGCCTGGGAAGCTGGCCTCTACCTCTGGGATGCCTGGTCCTGTCTTTCAGGGATGAACTAACATTTTGAACCATGAAGTTGTCAGATATATTTCTAAGAAATGTCTATGTAATGACTCAATTCAGGACTATTTTGAGATGTCCATATGTGAGCATCAAAAGTCAAGAAAATATTCATAATTTACTTTCCGTAAAGGCAGGGCAGCCCTGACTGAGAGCTATAGATTAAAACTAGATAGGTTTAATGAACCTGAAGAGTCCAGAGTACTGGAAACTGTCTACAGTACCCCATCCCCCGACCCACACCATGGATCCACTTTCAGCCTCTAGTTAACACATCCATCCTTGTGGTTTCTGGAGACCACCCAAAGCTTTCAGGAAGTTTGCATGGATGAGGTGACAAAGGCAAGGAGCGGCAAAAGGGGGGCATGGCACCAGTTGTCTAAAAAGAAGGAATTATTTGCCTGTAGGATAAGCAAGCCATCAATGTATGAGCGTGCTCAGAACCTTGCAAGTAAAAGAGCCAAGGAAACAGTGGCAATTTACAAGGTGGGAAGTGGCCACAGAAATTCCCTTAGAAAAAGTGCCATCAGGGATGAAACAAAAAGAAAAATGCAGGTGATAATATGAAGAGTGCAACCCACTGGTGAGCACTAAACTTTTATCCCTTTAAGCAGTTCTCAATACTAACTGCTCCAAGACATCCTCAAATATATAAGCCTCTCTTTCTGGAGATGTGGAGATAAGATGTTTCTGAACACAAACATTACCACTGTTACTAACACCCTGAAGTCCTCCACAAAATGCAAGAACTCCTAAAATATTCCAGTTTGGGGGCTGGAGAGGTGCTCGGCAGCTAAGAGCACCTACAGAGAAGTTCCCAGCACCCATACCCAGAGCTCAGAAACGCCTGTAACTCCAGCTCCACAGGATCCAGCATCCTCTTCTGGTCTCTGCAAGGGCACCTACACACATGGCACCCCTCAGCCCACCTCCACTTCCCCACCCCTCCCCGCCCACACATGTAATATATATATTTTTTTAAGCTAGCTGTTTTGGATCCTTGCTTAATTTTTTTTTCCTTGCTTAATTTTAATTTTTAAGGTGGGATCTTATACACCCTATGCTGGTCTTTATCAAACTCGGAGTCTCTTGAAAGCTAGGCAAGCGAGCACTCCACCAACTAAGTATATCTTCAACCCCAATTTTTTGTGTTCCTCGGCTCCAAAAGTTAGTTTTTCTATTACTTTTCTTTAAAAATTTAATTTAGTTTTATTCACTTATTACAATTTAGTCACTTTGTATCCCAGCTGTAGCCCCCTCCCTGGTTCCAATCCCCCCCCCATCTCCTTGCATGCCCCTCCCCCAGGCCACTGATAGGGGAGGTCCTCCTCCCCTTCCACCTGACCCTAGCCTATCAGGTCTCATCAGGACTGGCTGCATTGTCTTCCTCTGTGGCCTAGTTTCTTAATAGGGTGTCTTCCCCTACCATTCTCTACTTTGATTCTAATAGTCAATATCCGTCAGTCCAACAGAAAGAAAAAAATATTTGTAGTGTGGAGGAAAGCAATTCACCCAGTATCATAAGCTAATAGATAATATGCAACCTCTTTTGTTCAAGTCCTGTGCTAAACAAATAACCTTTGAAGCTGTATTTAGGAACACTGGGTTGATCTACTCCAGCAAGAGGAAATAAATACACGCTGTAAATAACCTGTTGCAATTTATCTTGCTCAGGTTGTCTTTTGTTGTGAATTAATAGTGGTTTGGTCTAAAATGCAGCTGTGGGAGAGTTGTTATGAGTCAATTCTCTGTGCAGTGCCACCCAAAGGACTTTCTGGGACAATGTCTTGTTCCATTCGGAAGCTAGCCACATCTCACTACTATTTTCGGTGTGGCTAGGAAAAACTGAAGATATGGTTTCTAATGCTATTTATTTGTAATTAATTCTAATAGCTAGATGTGCTGAGCAACGGCTGCCTATTTGAATGGCACACGTCTAGCCCCTTGCGACTCAATGCATGGTCTGTGGATTTGAAGCATTAATATCAAACATGTTAGAAAAACAGATTACTGGGCCCCTCTTTGGACTAGAGACTCGGAATCTCACTAGTAACAAGTTTCCTCCGTGGTTTGCATGCATACTTTAAAATTTTTTAAGTGTACTCAAGATTAAAAGAGACTGAGAAGCTATCCAAACTATAGATACTATAGAAACAAACTCTTCTCTTTTTTTGTTTGTTTGTTTGGTTTTATATGAGACAGGGTTTCTCTGTGTAGCCTTGGTTGTCCTGTACTCACTTTGAAGAAGCTGGCCTCGAACTCACAAAGATCCACCTGCCTCAACCTCCCAAAGTGCCGGGATTATAGGTGTGCACCACCACGACCAGCTTGTTTATTTTTCAAGACAGTGTTTCTCTATGTAGTCCTGGCTCTTTTGAAGCTCTCTCTCTGTAGACTAAGCTGGCTTTGAACTCAGAGATCTGCCTGCCTCTGCTTCCCAAGTACTGGCATTAAAAAGGTGTGCCACCACTGCCTGGCTTAAATACCAACTCTTTTTTTAAAATTTTTTATTTAACTTTTATTAATTACACTTTATTCATTTTGTATCCCCCATAAGCCCCTCCCTCCTCCCCTCCTAGTCCCCCCTCCCCCCCTTTCTGCATGCATGCCCCTCCCCAAGTCCACTGATAGGGGAGGTCCTCCTCTCCTTCTTTCTGATCTAAGTCTATCAGTTCTCATCAGAAGTGGCTGCATTGTCAGGGTTCTAGGTTATCTCCATGGATAGTCCTTGGTTGGAGTATGAGTCTCTGGGAAGTTCCCTGTGTTCAAAATACCAACTCTTAAAACTGATGTCCAACACGAAGGGCCTTTTTCTTGCTACCTGTGTTTTCCTTACCTCTCAAACAGAGTGAAAAGAGTAGAGGGATAGGAGAAGAGAGTCTGGAATGCTGGAGTCTAAAGGAAGGCCGGGGGAGAGTAAAGCAGGGTAGGAGAGCATGCATTTTTCCAGGGCTATTTGAATAAAATGATAGTATTTCCTTGTCACTTATCGAATAAAGATAGCGGATATATAAAAGTTCATTGCATGCTTTTAGTATGTTTGAAAATTTTCAAAATTAAAAAAAATATGTGACTTCAGAGACCATGTGTGTGATAACAGCTCCAAGATGGCCCTCAACAACCCTCTTCTACTGGAATTCATGACCTTGTTTGGTCTCTCACCACCAGGATCTGACTATGTGATCAAAGTGAAGATGACAGCAACCCTTTAGAGAGCTAGGTCATTGTGACTTCTGTCTTGTAGGCTCTTGGATCTCTTGTCCTGAGAGAAGCTGTCTTGTCAGGGTAGTTAAGCAGGCTTGAGACCTGACCTTCCTGGACTTTGAGGTTTCTTGCTGACAGCCAGCCATCTGAGGGATCCATGTGACCCTCCGTGAAAGCTGACCCTCTGGCCCCAGTCCCAAGTTTTCTGATGACCAGCTTCCATGTAACATGTACCTGAAAAACTTCCAGGCCCGGACTGCCTAGTGTGCTTCTCCAGAATTTCTGACCAACAGAAACTGTGATTCATAGCAACCGATGTCTGATTCCTCCTTCCTTCCCCTCCAAAATGGTCCACCACCCTCCCTAACTTTTTACCATGCCTGGATTAAACAGGGAAAGGGGAAAAATGTTTTTAGATCATGCATAAGGTTAATGTGCTAACATCCCTTGAAAAGATAATACAGTCACTTAAATTCATGGTAAAATATATGGGACAGATACATGTTCTTTCTTTTTAAAACTCTTAGCAAGCTAACTTGTTGAGACATTAATTTTAGGCTTGGTCTTGCTACTGTAAGTGACTAGAAAGGAAAACTTGGTAATTTTTCCTTCTGTGTCCACTGTCTCAAGAATGAAGTCTTGGATGATATGGTCTTGGTTCACCCTGTGTCTTGCCCCCAGTCAGTATCAAACACTGACTAACAGCTTTTTTTGTGTTTGGGGGACCATCGTACAGAAAACACCCCAAGCCCTTACCGCTGGCCTTCATTTTGAGAATTAGTTTAATGAAGATACTACAGGAATCATCTCCCAATCAGAAAGTGCTTGGAGTGGGAAGGGTACAATGGAAGGGCACACCTCCCAACCCCACTCGGGCCTAGCAGGCTTGCGGGCTACAGAGCTGTGTTTTTCAGGGGTCCTCCAGGGTGTATGGACTAGTCGAGTCAAGACCAGATGGGGAAAAAACAAAAACAAAATAAAGCTCTTCTCCTCCAAATTTTGAGGACTTCACAGCTTCAGAAAAAATACAGGAAGAACGTCAAAAAAAAAAAAAAATGTGACTAAAGAATTTCCCGCCAACACTGACAAGCAGGAGTCGGGCCAGATTTCTTTAATTTGGAAAATTAAAAGACTCTTCTTGCCCCGAGTCAGTTCACTGATTCCAGCGAACTCACTCCTGTTAGACTTAACTTTTCCTGCCAGTGGGTTTGGGTAGAAAGAGACATCCTGGGGCATGAGGAGAAGGGAGAAAGGGAGGAGAGGGAGGGGAGGGGTCGCTAGCTTTGGGCCCAGCACCGGTTCGCAGAGGAAATGACCCCCCGACTCGAGGCGGCGGCCGGGCTGTCTGCCGGGAGCCAGAGACAAACACACGCACGTGCGCCCCGCCCCCGCCGCGCGCACGCGCCTCGAGGCTCCGGCGGCGGCGGGCGCGCGCGCGGTGCTCGCTGCTCGCTGCCCCCACGCTGCTCCCTCGGCTGGGATCGCGTCGTCTCTCTCTCGCCGCCCTGCTCCACGCCTGGCCCGTGGGTTCAGGGGCGGCAGGTCGTGCCAGGTGGGCTCGGGTGGACGGGCGCGGCGGTCGGGGCGAGGCGGCGGCGCGGGTGGACGGTGCGGAACCCAGCAAGTTCCTCGCAGGAGATGTCGCCGGGCGCGGGCCCCTGCATACGCCGGGCGCCGTGACAGGCCGGCCGTGGAGGCGCGGACGGGGGAGGCCGCGACGGAGCTCCCGGACTGGCCATGGGCTGAGACGCAGCGTCGCGGAGCAGGTGCAGTGACCGGAGGTTGTGGGGAGGGAACCCGCGCCACAGGCCCCGGGAACCTTCGGCCCTTCCTAGCCCGGTACCCTGTTGACCTTCCCTTGGTTCCTCGGGAAAGGCCCTGATGACCCCGCCTCCAAACCTCGAGCGTGCAATCCCTGTGACACCCCACCACTGCCACGACAGGGCACACTCCGTGCGTCCCCTCACTCAGCACCCGACACCCCAGCCCACTGGGCCTTTGCGCCAATGCCTCTCATGCCCTAGCATTTCGAGCCCACAGCCTGCCTGCACGGTGCCTGGGAACTATCCAGGACTGCATCCTCTTTCTGCTCGACCAGGGGTTGGGGGTAGGGGCGGGAGGGGAAAGTGGGAGTGTCTGTCCTTCCTCCAGAGTCTTGGGTGACTACAGACCCATCTTCTTTCTCCCAAGCCTGTTGCGAAATTGACCCTTCCATACGTCACAAGAACATGCCGGGGTGACTCTCTCCCAGATCTTCCTGTGGCCTTCCTTGCTCTGCCCAGTGACACTATGCAACCCCAGCGTGACCTGCGAGGCCCCTGGCTCCTGCTGCTCTCCTTGTTCCTGCTCCTTTTTGAGGTAGCCAGGGCTGGCCGGTCTGTGGTTAGCTGTCCCGCCAACTGCCTGTGCGCCAGCAACATCCTCAGCTGCTCCAAGCAGCAGCTGCCCAATGTGCCCCAGTCTTTGCCCAGCTACACAGCACTCCTGGACCTCAGCCACAACAACTTGAGCCGGCTGAGGGCCGAGTGGACCCCTACCCGGCTGATCAACCTGCACTCTCTGCTGTTGAGCCACAACCACCTGAACTTTATCTCCTCTGAGGCCTTTGTCCCGGTACCCAACCTTCGGTACCTGGACCTCTCCTCCAACCACCTTCACACGCTGGATGAGTTCCTGTTCAGTGGTCTGCACGCGCTGGAAGTACTGCTGCTCTACAATAACCACATTGAGGTGGTGGACCGGTATGCCTTCGAGGACATGGCCCAGCTGCAGAAACTCTACTTGAGCCAGAATCTCATCTCTCGCTTCCCTCTGGAACTGATCAAGGACGGAAACAAATTACCCAAGCTGATGCTCTTGGATCTGTCCTCCAACAGGCTGAAGAAGTTGCCGCTGACTGACTTGCAGAAGTTGCCGGCATGGGTCAAGAACGGGCTGTACCTGCACAACAACCCGCTGGAATGTGACTGCAAGCTCTACCAGCTCTTTTCGCACTGGCAGTACCGGCAGCTGAGCTCTGTGATGGACTTCCAGGAGGATCTGTACTGCATGCATTCCAAGAAGCTGCACAATGTCTTCAGTCTGGATTTCTTCAATTGCAGCGAGTACAAGGAAAGTGCCTTGGAGGCTCACCTGGGAGACACCTTGGACATCAGGTGTGATACCAAACAGCAAGGGATGACCAAAGTGTGGGTGACACCCAGCAATGAACAGGTGCTAAATCAGGGGGCCAATGGCACAGCGACCGTGTCCAAGGATGGCAGTCTTCATTTTGAGAAGGTGCAGGCTGAGGATGGGGGTGTGTACACCTGCTATGCCATGGGGGAGACTTTCAATGAGACACTGTCTGTGGAGTTGAAAGTGTACAACTTCACCTTGCACGGACACCATGACACCCTCAACACGGCCTATACCACCCTGGTGGGCTGTATCCTCAGTGTGGTTCTGGTCCTCATATACTTGTACCTCACCCCTTGCCGCTGCTGGTGCCGGGGTGTGGAGAAGCCTTCCAGCCATCAAGGAGATAGCCTCAGCTCTTCTATGCTCAGCACCACACCCAACCATGATCCTATGGCTGGCGGGGACAAAGATGATGGTTTTGACCGTCGGGTAGCGTTCCTGGAACCTGCTGGACCAGGGCAGGGTCAAAATGGCAAACTCAAGCCAGGCAACACTCTGCCAGTGCCCGAGGCAACAGGCAAGGGCCAACGGAGGATGTCAGATCCAGAGTCGGTCAGCTCGGTCTTCTCCGACACACCCATTGTGGTGTGAGCAGCATAGGCTGGTGGGGAGGTTCTGCCCCAGGAGAGGTAGTGTACCCCTGAGGGATCCGAGGGGATGGAAGAGAGGGCTGGATGCCCAAGGGAGTAGGTTCCTCCTGACCACCAGGGAATCGGTCATGGGCACAAGAGCAGGCAAGACCCCAGTGAGGCTGTGGATGCTGCAAGCTTCGTATACGGATATATTAATCCTCAGGCAGACGCCACACCCCTACCTTGGCTATTCTCAGTGTGATAGAGGAGGAGGGATGCGTCTGAGTTGGACAGGAATGAGGAAAGGGGTGAGGGGAGGAGCAGATTCCCTAAACTTTTTTGAGGTCATCCATAGCTCCTTAAGAGAAAACCATTTGAAAAACAAATTTTTTTTTCTGTCTCTGCCCACCCACACCTGTGAAGTTGTGTGTGTTGGGGGAGCCTCCACAGGAGCCATGCTGGGAGCTGCAGTATCCTCTCTGGTCAGGAAGTCACATTCACAGCTAGGGAACTGGAAACCTTTGGAAAATGAGTCAGGAAAAGACTGAGACCTGGATCAATAACACTCCCTAAAGCTGCTGTGAGACTTCTCACTAGAGCTGTCTTCTTTCCCCAGGAGTCCTGAGTGGGTGGATATCTGCAGGAGCCTGGCCTCTTGCCTGTTAGTTATGGCAGCAATATAGGACATAGTGTCTGCGCTTGTCCTGGGGCAGGTGGCACAGATGGATACAGAATGAATTAAGAGGTCCCTGTCATAGCATAAAACTTGTAGATAGGACATAAATTCCAGGTAGGCTAATTCTCTGGCTGGGGGAAAGCTTTGATTAGTATTTGACTCCCAATATCTATCTGTCGGGATCAGACTAGGGGACACTGAAGGCAGGGCATTATGGTTGCCTTGCCACCAATGGGGCACAAGGGCCACTGTCCCTGAAAGGATGAGGAAAACCAACCTCTTCGATGTAGCAGCCAGGAAGACCTACCTGATTTTCTGCATATGCCATCTCTTCAGCCAACCTTCTAGTCAGCTCAGGTGGGGTTCTAAGCCTTCCACCTAATGCTGTTCTGCAAAGGGAGGAGTGAGGTCAAGTCTGGCCCTGCTCCATTAGACTAGGTCTGAAGATTGACAGGACTCCACATGTATCTTCTCTCTGCTGTCAAGGCTGCCTCACTCCTGCTGCAAAGCCAAAGCGTGGGATTTTGTCATCTGAAGGGTTGGAACCTAGTGGTCTCTGTCCCAAAATGGTGATACAAAGTGTGGTGTAGAGTTCTGCCTCCCCCCCACCAGGCTCTAGGGCAGGCGGTCTTGTAACAGAGGCTTAAAGGGCACTAAACTCTGAAAACTTCTGTCATACCGTTCCTTTCAGTCAGAAGTCAGTGCAGTTATGCCTGTCAGAGCAGAGGGACTTAAAAACAAAGCAGCCTTAGCTTCCATCCAGGCTTGCAAAATGCTTTGGGTACAGAGATGACTGTCCCCTGCATCCTTTGCCATACTGCAGGCCCTGGAGGCAGTTCTGAGCTCTGGAAGAGGGGTGAGGAGGGCAAAGGTGAAAAGTGTTCCCCAGCGTTGGTCTTTTTCAGTGTCTTTTCTTTCCCTTGTTTCCTGTGGTTGGAAGTTGTCCAGGTCCTCCAGTTTCCTGACCTGCTTTTGAGGTTCTAAAGGGTGTTGTTTACCCGTGGGTGAGGGCCGCTTAGTGCTAGGGGGGCCTGTCAGGCTGCCTGTAAGGACTGGGGAAGAGAAACTGAAGTAAGCACTGTCCTCTGTCTGCTCCTGGGATCCCTAGGCTCCTGTCCATCCTTTATCAGTAACCTAATTTTGTCAAGAGAGAGGTGCAGCGATTCCCCTTAAGTAGTTGCATGCTCATAGGTACGCATGCTCACCAGCACCCTGACCTCCACCAGGACAGTGAATCTGTGGCCCCCGCTACTGCCACCATCTCTAGAACAGCCTCCACCCACGTACACAACTTCTCACACACAATTTTCTTGCACTGTAGGAGAGACAGTGACCATGCCAGGCTCCTCGACTGCACAATCGCTTGCACTTTAATTGTCAAACACCCTGGACCTTTACCCATCCCCCCAACAGCTCCGACCCACTTCTTGCAGAGGCTGGAGTTAGGAGGACCCCACGTTGAAGCCTTTGGGAGAAGGGATGGCGAGGCAGTAGCTGTTTCAGCAAACTCCTTACAAACCCTCCTGAAAGCCTACATGTCTGTAAGACCAGAGGCTAGAACCAGAGCAGTGAAGGACCACAAAGGATGCTGGTGGAGGCTATACAGCTCTTGGTTGTCCTTCCTGTGTTACCTGTCCTAGGAGACAGGGGTTGGAGAGGAGCGTTGTCGGGTTATAGTTCAAAGACTTCTGAGGACTTGTCACCAGAGGTCCAAGAGCCCGACCTCTGTTGCTAGACATCAGTGAATGGGAAAATCTCTTATGTGGCACTGTCCTCTCCTGACACCATCTAGAGCTATGAAATGCTTTTAAATGGGGGTTGAATGACGTTTGCCTTCTAGAGCATTCTAGATGAGCTCCTGAGGACCAGGAGGGCCATTTTCTTTCTAAGTCCTACTCTGCAGCCCTTACTGTCCTTACTGTATCTATTAACTTGGGCCCTCATTTGAGACACCTGCAGGACATGTTGGTCTACCAGGACATTTAACTGATGGGTTTCTTATTGTGGTTTCAGTTCTTATAACCCAGTGGTAGCTTTCTCCTTGTAAGAGGGGTGTATGTGTGTATCCATATTCTGCATATATAATCCCATTAGACCTTGGGAAGAAAATTGCCAGGTGTAGATCTAAGAAAGGCTGACCTTCACCCCACATGTACCCATAAACTAGATCTCCCAGGAAGGAGAGGCAGGTGTCTCTGGAGACAGGATGTGACAGGGCTCTATGGTCTGTGTAATTATCTGTGATCTTTTTCTTTGCTGTATCTATGGGGCCTCTGGAAGAGGCCAGGAGAGGGTAGACCCATCTGGGGAGAACAAAGCCAATTTTCCAGTTTTGTGTGTGTGTTCTTGCCTCTGTAATCCCTCCCACTGTGTATACCAGGCTGGCAAACCTCAGAGCCAGTGGGCTCTATAACTAGACAATGACCATTAAACCTGGCTTGAGTCTCTGCTCTGGCACAGTTTGTGGTTGGTTCATTTATCTTAGCCTGTGGGTGGGTTCAGTATACTTCAAAAGGGTGTGACATATCGAAAGAGAGAACCTCTTTAAGTGTTGTTATCTGCATCATCTAGGAAACTAAGTATAAAATCTGCATCATCCAGGCATTAAGGTTAGAGAATGGCAAACTTTTTCTCTGAAGCCAGACAGTAAATATATTGGATAAATATTTTTTTATAGGCTTCACCATCTATTAAACCTCAACTGCATTGCTGTAGCAGACAAATATCCATAGACAGTTATAGATGAATGACTGTGTTTCTGTCCCAATGTAGTAGTCTGTTTGCCAGAATGAAATGTTCAAGGTAGAGTATTTTATGAGGGAAAAAAAGGTTTACTTAGCTTATAGTTTCAGAAGATGAGAGTCCAAGGTCTGGGGTCCCATTGTGCATGTGGAGAAGGCTTCCTGGTGTGTGTCATCACGGTAATGGGGGACATGCAGAAGAGATCACACAGAGAAACAGGGAGCAAGCTAGATTTCAGGGGTCTTGCCTGCCCTTTTTATAACAACTTCTTGTGAGAACTAACCAGGGTCCTGGGAGAACTACATTAATGTCTTCTAAGGATGACCTAATTGTCTGTCGCTAGACCCCGTGTCTTAAAGCTTACACCACCTTTCATCTGTATATCACTGAGGTCCAGGTTTCTAGGACATGAATCAAAGCAATGTCACCTATGGGCATGAAAATGTTAATTTCTTTTGAGTTTTTTTTTTTTTTTTTTTCCTAACCAGTTAAAAAATGTAAAAGCTACTATTCTTACAGACTACACAAAATCAGGCAGGGGTCTGATCTGCCCAAGAGACCATAATGGTTTTCTAACCTCCGAGACAGTCTCAAAAGCAGTGTCCCAGTGCCTTTAGCAAGCAAGAGTTTAGCTACCATGGGCCAGGGCTGTGTATAATGACAATTCCCTAGCTCCCTAAGGAGGAGGGTTGCCTCCCTGCAGAGTTCTCTTAAAAGGCTAGATCAAGCTTTCTAATGGTACAATGGGAAAATGCTTGGGTTGGAAGTTTGCTTTTTTTTTTTTTTTTTTTTTTTATGAAAGCTCACTTTCATAAAATTTTGATTATTACCAGGATATTTTCATCTTGAGCTAAAAGCATATTCATCTAATGGGTATGCTAATGCTCAATGACTGTTTCAAGTGTTCTGTGGAATAGCAAACAAAACAAAACAAAAAAAAACAAAACAAAAAAACCCAGGATCTTTACTTTTTCTTATAGACATACCCTACCAGAAACTGGACTGTAAACTCTGACTAGGCTTCTGGAAGGGATAGTCCTGGTTGATCCCACACGGGTGAGATCTAGGCCTGTACTACCCTGTATGTGCCAGATCTCTGTTGATCTCAGAAGCGAACTAGTCAGTCCTGCTGTGTACTTGGATGGGAGACCAAACAGGGAGAACACATGTAATTAGCATAACCTCTTATGTGTACGAAACTGAGCCACTGTAGGCCTCTTCTGTCTGGGAAGTTGTCTTTCTCACTTGAGGAAGAGTGGTGCCGTTTCACCACCAGTCACATCGGTTCAGTCAGTGGAACAGATGTTGTGAGGTCAGATCCCTCCCATAGTCCACATCTCTGTATTTTTCCATCTTTACCAAGTTGCTGTGCTATGGCTGACCGCCTGGTTGAGAGGATGGTGCTGGTAAGAGAACAGGCTGGGAAGACTTCTTGGAGTTCTCCCCTTTGTGTTGTCCGAGCTCTCTTGTCTTCCCAAAGCTTTATCTCTTCTGCTGTTTCTACCCATCCGACTCTAAGCCAAAGATCCCTGGATCGTGGACGAGAGATGCAGTTTTGTCTGCTGGGTCTTAAGTCTTTCCATCATTCCTCCCAGGCAGCACTTCAGTGGGGGCAGAGGAGGCTCATGTGACAGGGTAAGAGTCCAGTACCTGGGCTAGCCCCGTCTTTCTTCCACCTGGCCTCTAAACTCCTCCCCTTTCTTTATTTGTACCACTTATCTTGTCTCCTAGGCAACCAGTGGTGATGCTGTACTCTCCCCACCCACATGGCAAAAAAAGCTCAGGCCCTGCAGTAAGGACAGTTGGCTTTTTTGTTCAGGCCGCAGGGAATCTATGCTGGGGGCTTCCTCTCCCAGGGCCTTAAAAGAGGAGGCCAAGGCTGCCAGTCAAGCACTGTCATCAAGCTCAGACACTGACAGAAGATAGTGAATGGCCAGGATCCTTAGAACTGCCCTGAGGCTTTCCCTTCCCGTGTGTGCCAGCCAGATTACTGTCCCTGAAGCACAGAGGGCCATCCTTTGGTGAATCAGGACATGCAGTCCTACTAGGCAACTTCTGGGTGCCCTTCTGCACTGGCACAGGAAGGTGATGTGCGCACAGGTTGGCAAGACTGGGGCTAGGTAGTGCTTTGCACTTCTTTCCCCTCAGTTCCACTGCTCCCTCACTTGGTTTGGTTTACTGTAGGTGTGGGTCTGGTCATCTCTGCCAGGACACACTGGGAGATAATTGAGAACCTTTTTAAAAGATAGGGTACTAGGTGACACAGACTAGCCTGCTTCAAAGACAGGTTAAAAACTTCTTTGGGAACTTCTGACAACAGCTTAATAATGGAATGCTGTTCTCTGACCATATCTGTGACCAGCCAAGTTTTCTGGGATAAGGTTGTCCCACCAGAGAAAAAGTATTTGTGCTTAGTCCTGCTCAATGCTGACCATCTACTTCCAGCCCTCCTCCAGGGCGGTTCTGGGGCACTGCCCTCCCACCTTCAGCTTCAGTTTTCTTTGTGCCATTCTGGCAAGAATGGCTAAGGCTAGACTAGCATTTCATTCCTGGATCCCAGGACAGAAAAACAAAACAAAACAAAAACAATTAAGATTAAAAAAAAAAAAAAAAAAAGACAAATGTTTGAGCCTGCGTGCTGCTGTTAGTTCTGCTTGCCTTCATTCAGTCTGGGCCAAATGCTGCCTGCCCTTAGACAAATGGAATGGGAAGTATCCTTCCTCTTAACTGAAAGTTTACACACAACTATTTTGTGTGTGCTCGCACGCGCACACATGAATGCTTGTGTGTGGTAATTCCAGTAAAGCATTTTCAGGAGGAAAGGAGACTATGTTCTTACTCCAAGAGCCTGAAGCAGGAAAGGAAACCTTAAGCCGTAGACCCATGGAAGCCAGAAGCCATGCCCTTCACAGCACCATACTCCTAGTACTTAAGAGTATAGGCCTGAGGCTTCTGAGGGGAAACACAGGGTCAGGGTGGAAGTGCAGTGGTCACTACTATTGATCCTCCCTTTCTGTGTGCCCCACTATTCCTTTAGGAGGACAGAGTTAGGGAGGAGAGATTTAGATATGTTAGGACCAAAACTGGCTGAGACCTGGCCCTCCAGATTGGACTTGGAGGACCTGTACTCAGGTCTGCGATCAGCCCTGTGGCTTGTCCACATGAGGTAAGCAGTGTGTTAGACAAACCTCAGGGACCATGACCTCAGTGACATCTCTTGCAGGGAGAGATAAGAGATGACCCTGCATCCAGCAGTAAGAAACGTGACTGTTCCATGGTTCCCAAGTCCCCTCTGAGACTTGGGTCCCCTAAGCATCATCTCCCACAGTTTACTGCCTCCCTCAGAAGCGTAAAACCCAGAGCCAAGTTCAGGGAGAGAAAAGGACAGAACATACCATCTGCTTTCCATTTGTTTAATGCTTTGAACCTTGTTCTCTGGTCGAGTCCTCACAACATTCCTGTGAGGTAGGATGAGAAGCAAGTGGTTTGCCTCTGCCACCCAGTGTTAGGAACGGAGACACTCATAAACAGCTTTTCCAGTGTTCAGGCCAACACACCTTTCGGTTCACGACACACAGGCTCTCTGTGCCAGTCACAGACAAGGGCAGTGTGAAGGTACTAACCCATAAACTGTCTTGCTCTCCGAACTTGCTTAAGGCCATTCAGGTGGAGTGCCCCTTCCAGAAGCCAAGGCAAGTACACATGAGCGTTAGAGGTTTGGGGTTATCGGCTACCAAAGCCATGGTGGTCTCAGCTGAATATACTGTATTCTCTGTGTCTCTTGGCCTCACCGTTTACTCTCAGAGGAGAAAAGCTGCATAACCAGGCAGCAAGAATCCTGATTCCCTCTTCTCCCACAGTGCCTTCCCATGCTGTTACACTCCAAAGCCCAGGCAGAGGGGGAAGGTGAAGGCTGGCTGACTCAGCCTGCAAGTGCTTAGAGATCTGGAGCTGAAAGGCCCCAGCACCATTCAACTAATGATTATTATTAACTCTGAACAGGTCTTGGCACAGCAGCCAGCTGGCTCAGGGAGGATGCCTGGATCTCCCACAGTGAGGTTTGAAAAATAAGACCCACAGCCGCCATGCATGGGGGTGGAAAGGTGGGGACAGTGAGAGATAGGGCAGGCCAGTGTCATGGAAGAAGTGTCACCTGCGTTGAGGGGGGAGAGCAAATATAGGCTGGCAAGTGATAGCAGCCTATCTTGGATGAGGATGACAGCCAGAGAGAAAAACAAGAGTTCTCAGATGCTGAGCTCCTGTCATTCATTCACTGCCACCCCCAACCCCAGTGGGACCCAAAAGAAAAGGGAGGATACAGGAACAAAGGGCTCCTGAGAGGACTTCAACCACTAAGCCCATTACCATTTGGGTTTGATACAAAACTATCTAATGCCTTCAAGGTTGAGTCTGAGTATAATCAATCTTGGAACACAATCAAGTATAGAATCAGGACTTAGCATGATATGGAAATTTGTGCAAATTATGGGCGATTTTTTAAATCTTGAGCATCCTGAGTGTTCCCCTCCCTTTTAAAAAGCAAAACAGGCTGATTACCAGCTTTCCTTAGTCAAGCAACCATGGGCACGGGATAGCCATTTGTGTCTCCCCCTCAAGTCCTTGCCTTGCTGCTGAGAAGCCCAGGTAGTATCCACACATTGGAAGACACAAAAGGAAGAGGGAGCACACAGCCAGGAGGCGGATGCAGCCGGCAGCC